CAAAACCCCAAAACCCCAAAACCCCAATGAGAAAAATTCAAGAAGCGTAGAAGCTAAAAAGATTAAGGAATCCTAGGTGATTAAATAGTTGATTGTTGAAATTAAATTTAAAATAATTTTTAAAGAATCTCTATTCAGCTAGATGTCTAATTATACCCAATAAACAGTGCAATAATCGACTACAAGATCAAATGTGCCAGTTGCCACTACACAGTCCACATAGTTGGGCTAAATGTCATAGGAGTAAATGCTCTAGCATCATAATCTCTATCATAGAAAGAATGTTCTTGCCGGCTAAGAAAATGTTTATCACAGTAATGAGCCAAGAGTGCTAACATCAACATAAGAGACTCATATGTACTAAAGAAATGAGCCAATAATAGAAAGAACCTATGATAAGGCTCCAACGATCATCAGGCACGATGAAAAATCAGTCTTTGAATCTCATACTGTACCAACTCAAGTAGAAAGAAACGTTCTGCAAGCTAGAATTGAGACTCATGTTGAGCAACCCATAATTAAGGAACACCATAAAGATATAATTCATGAGCATCACTAAAATGTTGTACACGAGCATCACAAGAATATCATTCATGAGTAACATCAAGACATTATTCATGAACATCATTTACCAATCATCCACAAGGAAGAGATCAGAGAGATTCACTAGCCAGTAATTCACGAGACTCACAAAGAAGTCATCCATGACATTTCAAAGCCTTTTATTCATGAGAGTCATTCACAAGTTGTTGAGGAGCAATTTAAGGGACCTATTATTCATGAAGAATTCTAGAAGCCCGTAGTACATGAAATCTACGAAAAACCAATTTATGACAGAAAAGTTGAACAAACAGTTTTTTAATAAGAAGTTGGAAGCACCCAGCATTATTCAGGCTAATCTTTTTAGACCTAATTCACAAGTGCTCACAGCTCTCATAAATGCAAGAATCATAAGCTTACTGGATGCAGAGACTGCCAGACGTGTATTGAATGTGACAAGGTCAGACTACATCAGAGACAGGTAAGATGAACATTAGGTTACGAGGATCGCACTTAAAGTGATAAACTATGATGTTACTAAGGTGTTAAAATGGTAGTATCTATTTACTGAGATCTGTAAAATTCAGTTTATTTTGAAGTATCATTAAACTTTTATTTTTCAAACTAGCTTAAAATTGAAAAAATCTAAAATATAAATTAACCAAAATTTGAACACTAATGGGGTTTTGGGGTTTTGGGGTTTTGGGGTTTTGGGG